TAAAAAAAAAAAAAAAAAAAAAAGTACATTTTTACCTGCCGTTTTCTGTGGAAACCAATCAAAGGGAAATTATAATGGAGAGGGATGGCAGTACCATTTCTATGCGAATTGAATTTCTGATTTTCATTAGGCTAGCAATGTCTTTCCTGAAAAATGTTAGTGTTTATTACAGCAACAATTAGTAACAATTCCTCCACGGTAGTTTTATTTAACGGTGCCTAACTTACATACTTCAACTGCTTTCAAAATAGTGGTGGAAGTTAAAATTACATTTTCTTCCTGCCTCTGGTTCTGCACTAGAAGCCTGATCCCGACAGGGCAGTGCCACGAAGGCACGCTTTTTATGTGATGTGCATGCATGTTGCTGTGCACCTTGCCTACAAAGCAGGAGCTGTGCTTTAAGACCGCCAAGAGCCAGTGCGCGCCTCGTGTTGAATAGCCAGTCTCGCAACTTGGGTACGTAAGGAAGATGCTTTCTTTCTCCCTTTAACACTAAAAACATAAAGAAAAAAACCCCACACCAAACAAACCCAACAGGCATCAAAACCACCGGAGAGCCTAAGGAAAGCGCGCCAATCACACAAAGAAAAGTAGGGGAGCTACTGGGATTCAAAATAATTTCCCCGGACGAACACCCTCCTGGACCTATCCGAGTTAACTGCGCGCTTGGTCGTAGCTAATAGACACAGCTTTTCTGGTTCAGGCCCACCCTCAAGACTGATAGACATTTGTGTAGTCCAATGGAAGAGTGCGATGTTGAAGAAGTAACCAATACATTCGGGAGGTGGGTGGAGTGTAGGCCAGGGGGTTGGCGGTGTCGTGTCATGGAGGCTCAGTCTCTCAGCAGCCATTGAAGGGGAAGGAACTGCGGGTGTGTGTATGTGTGTGTGTGCATGTGAGTGCGCGCGCCAGTGCGTGGACAAGGAGGTGTTGGCAGCCGAGTTAGAATCCCAACTCCTTGCACTCCATTTGCTATTCTCTTCTTTCTCCCCCACACCTATCTGGTGGTGGTGGGCGTTTATATTTGCGTTTCTTTTCATTCATTTCCAAATCTTTTACATTTTGAGGGTTGGGGGTAGTGGGAAAGGCACGAGAGGGTAGCGGAGGAGAGCAGTAGCAGAAGAGCAGGAGGAGGACATGGAGATGAAGAAGAGGATTAACCTGGAGTTAAGGAGCAGAGCCCCGGAGGAGGTGAGATGACTCAGCCCCCTCCCCTTCCCCATCAGCCCAGTATTCGGAGGATCGGGTTTCGGGGGGGCCTGGGTGGGTGTGTGGTGAGGGGTAATTAATTAACCCCCTCCTGGGGTTGGGGGGAAATAATTTAATTTGAAGTTTTAAATCATTAAAATCTTTTGCTTAAAATGGCGAAGGGTTTAAGTTTCTAGGGGTTTTTGTGTGGTGTGTATGGGGGCTTGGTCCCTTTTTCCTTTCAGGCGTCCTGGCCTCGGCGGGGCGGGAAGCAGGGTGTTGGGGCAGCTGGACTTCCCGAGTTCCTCCTCCTGGGGGCAGGCAGCGTGGGCGCGACCCCCGGGCTCCACTCGCCCCTGCCGCAGCCATCGTCGCCCGAGAAGTTGGTCCAACTTTTCTTCAGCGCTGCCAACTCTTTTTGGGGGAAGGAGGGGAGGGGCGGCCCAGGCCTCGAGGCTTCTGGGCGTCGGAGGACGTCGCTCCGGGTACTGGATGGGGTCCCTCGCGCGGTC